ATTCAATTATATAATCCATTTCATATTATTTATGATTATTCAATTATATAATCCATTTCTTATTATTTGTGATTATCCGATTATATAATCCATTTCATATTATTTATGATTATTCAATTATATAATCCATTTCATATTATTTATGATTATTCAATTATATAATCCATTTCATATTATTTATGATTATTCAATTGTGTCTCAATTATATTCTCCTTTTTGCTAAGGTAATCTTATGTTTATCATTATTTGTATGCTTATTTATAAGCTTAGAAATTCCAGTGCCATCCAGTGAAATTTCATTTGAAAATATTGCTAATTGGAATCAATTCAAGGAAAAAAAACTTATCCTCTAATAAGTAATGCTTTTGGTTAGAAAGAAATGTATATGAATAAATTTATTAAGTTCATCAGAAATATTTTATTGAATAATTTATTGTTTTTGTTTGTTTTTTATTTTATTTTATAGCACTCCGAAACAATTACACCTCCATTTATTCATTAATTCGCTTTCAAAAGAAGTTTGAATTTAAAATTTGCATTATATCACTTTTAATTACTTTAAAATATATTCAAATTTGAAATGTAATTTTATTATTTCAAATTATCGCATTGTTAATCAGTCGCTCAAATAAAACTTCCCAACGTATGCATACATGTTTACTTGTTTTCGTCGATGCAAATATCTTATGGATTGTTAGGATAGATATTGTTATTTTACTATACATTAATATTAAATAGTGAACAGTCAATAATTAATCATGAAATCATAATGATTGATAATATCGAAATATTGACATGTCTTAATAATCAATAATTAATTACGAACAATGATAGTGGATAATGTTAACAGGTTGAACTCAACAATCTGTAATTAATTGTTAATAATAATAATAGATAATATTAGCAAGTTAAACTCAGAAACAGATAATTAATTATGAACAATAATAATAATAGATAATGTTAGCAGGTTAAGCTCAGGAATAGATAATTAATTATGAGTAATAATAATAGATTATATTAGCAGGGTAAAAATAATGATAATAATAATAATAATAATAATAATAATAATAATAATAATAATAATAATAATAATAATAATAATAACAATAATAATAATAATAATAATAATAATAATAATAATAATAATAATAATAATAAA